AGTATCTTGTTGTGTGTGTTTGGTTTAGTACAAACAGTATATCATAAAGACTAAAGTCAAAAGTTAATTTTAAGGATCATTTTCGTTCTCAGTGACCCAGAATTAGTAAAGTTTGACTACATTTATTTCAGAAGCATTTTGGCTGTAGAGCAGTGTAATTATTGCTTTTCAGTATTGTACATTTGGGGAGATTGTTTTGATTAGTGACTTCTACACATTGAAATAAATAGCTTGTGAAAGTCCAGCTTAAAAAAGGGAAAAATAACTGACAATCTCTTTTTTAAGTCCCTTTGTGAATGGGAGGCCTTTTTCATAAGTGTGATACATTTGGACTCTCCATTTTGTTCACCATTTTGATATTGTCCTAAGAAACATAATTACAGACTATTGTTCACATTATAGAATGGTACTATGGAGCAGTGTTTTAAAAGATAATTGTTTAGTTACACTATTTTTAAAGTGTTGCTTCAGTTTAATTCAGTATTTATCGAGAGTCTAGTGTTTAGTTACCTGATTACGTTTATATAATCGTCTAATCTTTGTTAATTTTCTTAATTGATAGTAACTGACATTTACTGTCAAATGTGGCATTCTTTCTAGAAAGCAGTACAAGAAATTGTGATGCAATATTATCTTTTCAAGATTTCAAGTACTTATTGATGTGAAAATCGCAGGTGGTGTAAGGATGAAATTGTGACCCATTAATGTCATTGATAAAATTCCCATTGATTTCAGTGGGGCCAAGATTTCAGCCTAAATGTAGACTGCAGTTTTATTTAATTGCTTAAACCATCATAATTGTTCCTGTAGAACATAACAGCCCTTCAGAAAATTACCTGGCATTATGCTAATCCAGTGCAGTACCTAATTGTTCACCAATAGGCACCACCGCGTAAGTAGAGGGTACTTTTTTTGCCTTCTGCTTCTAATCCAGGTCAATGGGCATAAGTGCCGGCAAAAAGTTACTTGTATCTTTGCAGGGCTGGGGGCAACAACCATTAACTTCTTCCCTGTGTGTGTGTGTGTGTGTGATATTTGTGTAGATTTGTCCCTTCTCAAACAAAATTGATCAGTCCCCAACTGCCCTCCCCCACACCTCCATCCCGTACACTCTTCCCAGGACACTACACACTACCTTGGTGGTAAGGTTGCTGAGGTTCACATATTGCCTTACTTCATCACACCTACTCTGCTGTAACTCATGGTGTACCTACAGAAGTAAGTGAATTGGACATAGCCTTCCTAGACGCAAAAAATGGAACCCAGTTGTTTTAATTATCTGTATATTTTCTCATTTTATGCTGTTCAAGCTAATATAAATGGTGGTTCATGAGTTTTGTAGTTAGCATTTCTTGTTTACTGCATGAATATGGACAGGTTGATGCTTGTGCTGTAGTTTGCTGCTCATGTTCCCATCGATTGAAGGAAACTCATCAGTACCACAGTAACTATTGAGCACTTGAGACTTTTAATTAAATTTTACTTGTACAGAGTATTTTTTTAATATGCCACTTGAGTGTCTGATTTTAATCAGACCTGAACAAACTGCCTGACTTATTTCAGTTGACAGCACTTGATGTAGATTAATTTTACTGTTCAACATTTCATTGATGGAAAATAGAAGGTAATGTTCTGGGTGGATCAGAGTTTGGCCACAGAGTGTAAAAAATCGCTTGCAAATGCAGATGACAATTGGATTATTAAAAGGTCACTGTTTGTTCAAGCTTTGAAGTGTAATATCATATGTGATATCCTGTGGAAATCACACAAGAAATAGCCTGGATGGAATGCATATTTTAAAACTTGTTTTACAAATTCAATTTCTTCTAGATATAGTTATGTACGTTAGCATAGATGTGCTAAATTAACTTTTAAGAGCTATCAGAGCTTCTTTGGGTTTTTTTTCTGATAAGCTATGTCAGTTACAGTCTCTGTCTATTTCTGCTGTTGTTACTTGCTCATGTAATCATTGAAATTCTATACTAATATTGTATGGAGTGGGGTTCATAAAAGTGGTATTTTGTTAAATTAATCTCTTAATTTAGTTATTGTTTGCTGTTATGCTGTTGAGATTCACATTTCAGCCTTTTCTCTCCCCACTTTCCCTTTTTTTTTTTTTTTTACGGTTAGTGATCAGTTACAATTGAAAAGGGTATCCATGGTGCAGTGTAAATTTGTGATTTTTTTGTTTTACATGATGCAGATGAAAGATCTGCCCCAAACCGCCAATGTGTTTAGAAAAGTATAAACCTGTCTCTGGGCTGTGAATCTAAAAGATGGTTGCACTCTCTTTGATCTGCTTGCCTCACCAATCTCAGTTTGAAATCAAGTTTTCCAGAATTAAAACAAAGCTTAGAGTTTTCACACCAGTAGTATGTAAATGTACTTGTTCGTGGGGTTTTTAATCTATTCAGAAGCATAGGTTTTCAATTTAGTGTGTGAGGCATGAGCCATACAAGGACATATATCATTAAGACAAATATTAGAAGTAGGAGGCATGTAAAATTAATGTACATTTGTGTGAATATTTTATTATATTTATGTTTAAAAAGAACTTTTTTTCTTTACAATTTGGCTTAACATATATCACATACTTTTAGTTAAACTAATGTGCAGGTGCCCTGGGTCTGTTGTATCTTTGCAGTCTCTATTTGTTATTTCTTTCATTCTTTGCCGCCAACAGTATTGAGAATTGTATTAAATTAAGAAAATTTGTTTTAATTCAGGTTTATCGATTAGATGGAATTCCACTGATCCTGGACAACTGCAGTATTGATGACAACAACCCTTGTATCCTTTAAGTGAAGTTGTAACAGACTAAATAATGTATATTCTCCTATAACATAATTGAGGGGACATTGTATGCATATAAACCTCTACCCCGATATAACGCGACCCGATATAACACAAATTCGGATATAACGCAGTAAAGCAGTGTTCCGGGGTGGCGGGGCTGCACACTCCAGCGGATCAAACCAAGTTCGATATAACGCGGTTTCACCTATAAAGCAGTAAGATTTTTTTTTTGGCTCCTGAGGACAGCGTTATATTGAGGTAAAGGTGTATATATGTGTTGGCATACCTCTGATAATCTTCGGAGTTGAGCGTTGTATCCAATGTCACTGAACAGGTGTTTTCTCCTGGATTTACATTAAGGTCTCAGATTTAATCATTGACTGTGGTCATCTTGAGTATAACCTGTTCTTAAACTGTAGCTCAGGGGTCGGCAACCTTTCAGAAGTGGTGTGCCAAGTCTTCATTTATTCACTCTAATTTAAGGTTTCGAGTGTCAGTAATACATTTTAACATTTTTAGAAGGTCTCTTTCTATAAGTCTATAATCTATAACTAAACTATTGTTGTATGTAAAGTAAATAAGGTTTTTTAAATGTTTAAGAAGCTTCATTTAAAATTAAATTAAAATGCAGAGCTCCCAGACTGGTGGCCAGGACCCAGGCAGCGTGAGTGCCACTGAAAATCAGCTCGCTTGCTGTCTTTGGCACACGTGCCATAGGTTGCCTACCCCTGCGGTAGCTCCTACTAATCTGTATAATGCAAATACTCCAGGCTACTGTACAAGGCATTACAAATCACCCTGCCAAAGAGTTGATTTCATATTAGGACATGAAAGCGAAAGAGTTGATTTTAAAAAAAAGTCCTAGTTAGGGTAATATCTGAACATCCTTAGAAATTTCTATTTTTCATTACTGAGTCTTTGACCTTGTTCGTAAAATTGAAGATGCCCTTTTGATCACTTGATGTTTTGTGCTGGCGTTGTTTCTGAATACTATATGAACTGAGAAATACATACATGTACAACAGAACATCAAAAATGCAGTTTTTTTTTAAATCAATAGCTTAAGAGAACAAGACCCTTCCTCACTCTCAGCTGAACAACGTCCAGACAGAGGCTTGGGTAGTGTTATTTTTAAAGCGTTCAAGACAAATTCCTGGGAATGTTTTGTCTTGGCCTGTGCGTAAAATAGAGTCAGATAATGCTCTAGGGAGATTATGGATTAAATCCTACCCCATTGAAGTCAATTTGAGTTTTGCCATTGACATCAGTGGGACTAGGGTTGTCACCCTGTGGATGGTTTGTGACTCTGAGTGTCACTATACTGCAATAAATAATCTCCAGCACCCAGTTTCAGAGCCGGTGTGAATTGACTCAGGCTTTTGGGTGACTCAGGCTGCTGTGCTGAAAAAGGCAATGTAGTCATTTGGGCTCAAGCCCAGGCTCTGAAATCCATCCCCCCTTGTGGAGTTCCAGACCCCAACTTCTAGCCCAGGCCCAAATGTCTACATCGTTATTTTTAGCCACCCCGGCCCGAGCCATAGTCAGCTGACCTAGGGGCTGTGGATGTTTTATTGCAGTGTAGACATACTCTAAGGCCCTGATCCAGGAAAGCATCCCTGTTCAGGAAAGCACTTAAAGACATGCTTACATTTATGCCATAGAAGTCAGTGAGACGTAACATGCTTCAAGTTAAGCATGTCCTTAAGTGCTTTCCTGAATTGGAGTGAACTTGGAGTGTTTCTTGAATCGGTACCTATGTCTTGTTTTTTAACATCCTCAATATCCCTTGTTCACTGTTAGAGCTCTGGATTGGGATTCATAATAGAAATCTGAATTAAGACCATACTTGGTCATTGTAACTGACCTCAGAGCTTTTGCGTCAATTGACACTTGTCCAGTGAACTGAAATAAGTAGATAGAATAGTAAGCAGTCCATCAATTTTACACGCGTATTAAATCTGACTAGTGGAAAAATAGTTCTCAACTCAGAGACTTATGTGGCAATTTATGTGAGGGGGAAAAATAGTTAAGTCAATTAATGACGCAGGTTATTGGACTGGTATGATATGAACAGTGCAAATGATGCATTATAGGGGCTTTTTTGTGGCTTAAAAACAGTAGCATCCCTAAAGAGCAGCAACTGCAAAACTCAGGAGGATTATAACTTGAAGGAAACTACTTTAAAAATCTCTTGGACATTTTTATCATGGCAATTTTATTGTCAGAGCAACATCTAGGTACCCACTAATTGTCGCAATCAGTTGTGAGGTGGTAAGTCATCTCTAGACAGCATATTAGGATAACTAACAACATTTGATCCAGTGACTACAGCCAACGTGATTACCGACATGTGATGTGCAGACCCTGAACAGACTGACAATACAGTCTGTTTACCATCCTCAGAGTTCATTTTTAGAGTCCAGCCAAACCTGACCACAACTTCTAGACTACAGTTAGGTTTTGTTTTTTATTTTTTATATTTTTTAAAAAGTTAATTCAGATTAACAAATTAACTTCGGAGTAAAAATCCACCTGCAGCAAATATGGTAAAACAAAGAACAAAACTGTGAAAAGGATTCTAATTTTCATCATAATTTCGTTGCATAACTATGGTTAACCTATCATTTAAATCAGCTTTGGTACCAATTAACTAGAGGGTAGCTAATGTGATGCCGATCTTTAAAAAAAAAAAAAAACTCCAGAGGAGATTACAGGCCAGTAAACCTAACTTCAGTACCAGGCAAATTGGTTGAAACTAGTAAAGAACAGAATTATCAGAAACACAGATGAACATGCTTCGTTGGGGAAGAGTTAACACGGCTTATGTAGAGGAAAATCATGCCTCACAAATCTCTTAGAATTCTTTGATGGGGTCAACAAACATGTAGACAAGGGTGATCCAGTGGGTGTAGTGTACTTGGATTTTTAGAAAGCCTTTCACAAGGTTCCTCACCAAGGGCTCTTAAGCAAAGTCATGGGTTAAGAGGGAAGGTCCTCTCATGGATCAGTAACTGGTTAAAATATAGGAAACAAAGAATAAGTGGTCACTTTTCACAATGGAGAGAGGTAAATAGTGGGTTCCCCCAAGAATCTGTAGTGGGACGACTGCTGTTCAACATATTCATAAATGATCTGGGAAAAGGGGTAAACAGTGCAGTGGCAAAATTTGCTGATGGTGCAAAAATAATCTAGATTGTTAAGTCCAAAGCAGATTCCAAAGAGTTATAAAGGGATCTCACAAAACTGGGTGACTGGGCAACACAATGGCAGATGAAATTCAGTGTTGATAAATGCAAAGTAATGCACATTGGAAGGTCTAAACTCAGCTATGCATAGAAAATGATGGGGTCTAAATTAACTGTTACCACTCAAGAAAGAGATCTTGGAGTCATTATGGATAGTTCTCTGAAAACAATCACTCAATGCGCAGTGGAAGTCTAAAACACTAAAAGAATGTTAGGAACCATTAGGAAAAGTATGGATAAGAAGACAGTAAATATCATATAAATCCATAGTATGCTCACACTTTGAATACTTCATGCAGTTCTGGTCGCCTCATCTCAAAAAAAGACTTATTAGAATTGGAAAAGGTACAGAGAGAGGCAACAAACATAATTGGGTTATGGAAAATTTTAAAAGACTGGGACTGTTCAGGTTAGAAAAGAGATAACAAAGGGTGGACAGAATGGAGGTCTATAAAATCATGAATGGTGTGGAGAAAGTGAATAAGGAAGTGTTATTTACCCCTTCACATAACACATGAACCAGGGGTTAACTGATGAAATTAATAGGCAGCAGGTTTAAAACGAATAAAAATAAGTACTTCCCAAAACGCACAGTAAACCTGTCAAACTTGTTGTCAGGTATATTGTGAAGGCCAAAAATATAACTCTGTGTGCAAAACAGAATTTTGTAAGTTTATGGAGGGTAGGTCCATCAGTGGCTATTAGCAAAGTTGCTCAGGGACTTGCAACCCCATGTCTCTGACCGGCAGATGTTGGGACTCCACAACAGGGGATGGATCACTTGACAATGGCCCAGTTCTGTTTATTCCCTTTGAAGCATCTGTCATTGTCCACTGTTGGAAGACAGGATACTGGACTAATTGCACCGTTGGTCTGACCCATTATAGCCATTTTTATGTTCTTAACAAAGCTCAGTTATTTATAAAATTTTAACTAATGTAATATTTTTCCATACATTTTGATATAATTGACTTTTTATGAGTGCAATTATAGACATTGTAACACTTTGGAGCGAAGATGAAATGCCACTTGTTTGAATTTAAAGGTTTATCTAATGTAGTAACACCTTTTAATATGAGCTTTCATCACAGACTTGTTATGCATACACACAAGGGGGCAGTGTTCAGATTGCTGTGGGTACATTAACCCTGAATTTTCTCACTCTTGTGGAGTTGTCATTGAGATATTAATGTTGCATTAACCTTTTCTTTCATGTTAGTTAGCACTTGGTTCTGTTTTGCCTTCTTATTGCTTAAATGCATTCTTATAAACATACAAAATTCAACAACTTTTTTTTAAATGGTGGGTGGGTAGTAAGGTCCTGCTTTGCTGTGACAAACTTTTCTGAAATGGTCAAAATTATTATTTTGATTCTCTATTTTTGGCTACTGCCTTCAGGACTTTCTCAGCCTCAAATATCTGACCATATTTAGTCACAGTTTCTCTCCCTACCATCATATTCTCACACATGAGTGATGAATCCATTTCAAATAAGAGATTGGAAGCTGCCTGGCTTATGAAATTAAGTACCTGAACCTGCCCTTTCATAATGATGTCCTCCACCCTCCCTTTCACTTGTGTACAGACCTCAGGAGACCACCTTTATCCTTAAGGTCAAGTGCTCCTTTAATGCTGTTATGCAGCATGAATTTGACTTCCCCCTCCTCTTCTAAGCATTCCATGTGTGATGCATTCCCAGCGTGTCTCATTGGGAGAGCAAGAGGAAGAATTCAGAATTAGTTTCTGGTC